AATGGACCAAGAAAATCTTCGTCTTTACAAAACAGGAGAAGACATCTATCGATCGTAACGCTGAATCTCTGATAGGTGATTCACAGGCCAATGATTCTGATTATCTGTCAATGCAAGAAAAGCTGCAACACATTAAAAATATACTCAGAGGTAAAAGAAGCTCCATAGAAACTGTTACTCATTTAGCATTTATTATTGGCAAGTTTCGTCCACCAAACACTGACAGAGCTATTCACTAAACTCCAGATTGTAGCCAATTGATTTCCACGTAGCAACATGCAAGATAAAACAGCCACTATCTCTATAGCTAAGTTGGAGAATTTCTCCAAATATTCTATTTGAGCCTTAATTTTGCAATTTGTTAATCAAGTCAAAGTTTAGTGAATAACACTGTGAGTTCAGGAGACTTTCAAAATAAGGTAAACTGGCCAAATTAATTAAGTTCTCTAATTTAGTTATTTTTCTGTCTCACATTACTCGCTAGTTTGTAAATGTCACAGGGAGAGAGACAGGCTGGTTGTAAGTCAATACAGATGTTTATGCTGTTATTGTGGACACAGCACATTACAGTGAATGCTATTAAATATAATCTACAGCAAACAGAGGCGTAACTAGAAACCACTGGGCCCCGGTGCGAAAATTGCCCTGGCCCCCCCATATGTCTACGCCCTTCTAACCCCCCATACATCTACCCTCCCACTCCCATCCGTTCTCCCCACATGCAGACACACACATACACACAGAGACACACACATACAGGCACACATGCATACAGACACACACACAAACACATACATACAAACAAACACGCAGACAGACATACACACACACACACATACATAAAACCACGCATAAACACACAGGCAGACATATACACACATAAAAACACACAAATACATATACACAAACACGCATACATACATACATCCACATACATACAAACACACACACACATACATACAAACACACATACAAACACACATATATACAAAATGCTTTAGTCCTCCTCCTGTTTCCTACCTTTTAGATGCAGGAGGGTGACTTCCCTCGGGTCCAGTGGTTACTCAGCCTGATGGGAGTCAGAGTTCCCACTCTGACTCACTCCTCTCTTTCTTCCCGCTTGGCTCCCGGTGTAAGCTGGGAGGAAGAGATCGGGGCAGTCACTTCCAGCATCTGACATCATCACAGGGGGTCCGCCGTTCTATTAAAGCGCCACAGCGCTGAGCATGCCCCTTGGTAATTCCCTGCCATTGGGTGGCCTTAACAGCATGGGCAACCCGATGGGTTAGTCAATGTGCCCCCAACGGTTATACCGCGTGGGCTGGGGCCGCAACACATGGCCAGCTGGGCACCGTGGTCAAAGGGGTCTGCAGGGCGTCCGGGTCCGCTGGAGTGACGTGCACGGTCGCAACTGCGACCCCTGAAACCGCGAAATTTCCGCCACTGACTGCAAACACTGATATATATAAACATTTTCTATTACTCAAACCATTTTTCACTTGCTTCTACATATAGATCTTGCTGTGTACATATAGGCTTATAAAAAGGATACAAATTCAATGGATTAAACATTATTCTAGCACAAAACCTGCACTCGTTGACCTGATTATTTTAGTGATAAATTACGGATTAATAAGGTATGTTTTTCATTGAGGCATCTTCCATTACCAGAATTTTACTGAACTACTAATAATTTCGGTTAGTGACGTCCAGTTATTTTAAAATCAATGGCATCATCTTGAGAGCTATTTGATTGCAGGTAGTATTGTACACACAATGTATGTTTACAAAACATGTTTCTGTATTGTTTGACGTGTAAGCGATTTATGCCGATATAACACCAGATTCTGCTTTAACATTCTTTTTTTTCTTAGCAGGGATAAATGTTGGAAAGCCACAGAGTAATGTTACAAGCCATATAGACTGGAAGAGTATACTCATCCAGGTAAGTGGCATGTGGCAGTATCATATACATATTGTACTAATCTACCTGTTCTCATTGTGACCACTGTTTTCACAGTAATGGCTGAGACCAGTCTTGTCCTTACAGGATCAATTGCTTTTTTATACCAGCAAGTAAACTGTTTTAAACAAATATACAAATCAAAATAAAGCAAGCAACATTTCCAAAATGTGTAATAAACCTTTATAAACTTGCTATAAACTTGGTCAGGTTGCATAGCTGGGCACACCTCTCAGCTAGGGGGGTTTCTTCAAAACAGGGCATCATTTTGCAGTAGCAGGAAAGAGAAACCCCACATGATCACACTGACCACACTCCCTCTTTTTTCCCTCTGTCAGGATTTTACAAGGTGAAGAGATCTTCCAATTACACATGTGTAAAGCTGTCAGGCATGCCCAAAGCACTTTTCCAGCATTCCTAGGGATAGGAAACTGATTGGTTAGATCAGTGTGCCCCCTGGAGTGAGTTTAAAAAGCTAAAGACAGTTGTCTCAAAATGATGCAAATTTTATCATTTCTCTGGTTAGATATTGTAATATTCTCCTATATCATTAGTTTTTCCATCCAGTGTAGGCTAGGGAAGGAGACAGTTATAATTTTGATAATCTTCCTGTTAATGAGTCTGGTATCACCATGGGTACAGTAGTATATCTTTATATTAATAGATAAAGCTAGTGACTTTGTGAGAGAAATGTGTGTCTCACAGCTTCTCCTGATATAGCTGACACACATATCCTTCTCTCTCTTTCATAGGAGGACATGGAAAGTGGTTCTCAGGAGAATTCAAAGAAGAATTTCTGCCAGGTATGTACACACATGCCACAGTCTGACTCGTAGAATCTATGCAGGTATGTACACACATGCCACAGTCTGACTCATAGAATCTATGCCAGGTACGTACACACATGCCACAGTCTGACTCGTAGAATCTATGCTAGGTATGTACACACATGCCACAGTCTGATTCGTAGAATCTATGCTAGGTACGTACACACATGCCACAGTCTGACTCGTAGAATCTATGCCAGGTATGTACACACTTGCCACAGTCTGACTCGTAGGATCTATGCCAGGTATGTACACACATGACACAGTCTGACTCGTAGAATCTATGCCAGGTATGTACACACATGCCACAGTCTGACTCATAGAATATATGCCAGGTATGTACACACATGCCACAGTCTGACTCGTAGAATATATGCCAGGTATGTACACACATGCCACAGTCTGACTCGTAGAATCTATGCTAGGTATGTGCACACATGCCACAGTCTTAGGGTAATTCACTAAACAGGTATTTATGGATTATAGACTTGTAATGGAATTGGAAGAATAATGATTGTAAGGAGAACAAGGGAAAATACTCAACTGCTCAAACATAGACCTTAATTTAATATTTTTGGACAAAATATTAAAATATGAAAATATATCTTATCTATAAAAGTACATTTAAAATATTGCATTGAGGCCCTTGTTAGAGATATATCACATTATATATGGAAAAAAAATAAAAATAAACATTAACTCAATCAGTGTATTTAAACCAATCTGTGGAGATTGGAGTAAAGCATTGGTACAAATGTCCTTGGCACCCTTCTCTTCACACAAATGGTGTGAAATATATATAGACAAATAAAATACAATGATGTAATTCCATCATGTACAGCATAAGCTTATAGAAGCCAAGGCTATGGAATAGTTTTATATGTAATAAATCCGATTATTCTAATACCATAAACATTTCTCTATTCCCTATCTGAAACAGACTAGAACATGCCATATTAATATCAGCATGGATTGTATTTCATCATTAGCTTGTGAATGGAACTCAATGATGTCTTAAAAATATATTTTGTCTTCCAGAAATACCGTTATTGGCTAATGTCCCTTGCCATCTTCATTGTTCTGTTCATTACAATGATATTGGCAGCAACATGTGAAGACTGCAGCCCACCAAGTACCACGTTACTCACAACATATTTTACTGAAAATGCCACGACTAGTATGATAAACACAATTACCAGCACAGGAAGTACCACGACAGTCCCAGTAAATACAAGCGTTTCTCAAGGAAGCAACACAAGTATCACAGTGAAAACAACATCTAGACCAGGAAATACAACTACTGTTACAAATACTACCTCCAGCCCTCAAAGGTTTACAGACTCTGTTCCTATAAAAACAACATTTGATCCAGACATTGCAAACACCACTAGTACTATTACGTCAGATACAAACTCTACTTTTAATGTAACCACATCTTTTCAGAACTCAACTTATCTTCCTCCAGAAGACACTCTTACTCCAGAAAGCACAACTTATATCCACGGAGACACAACATTTACTCCTGAAAACACAAGTACATTTCCGTTAAATGGAACATCTGTTTCTGGAAACACAATATACGTTTCTGAAAACACTAGTTTTGTCCCATTAGAAACAACACCTTCTCCAGGAAATACAACATTAGTTGGTACCGTCACATCCTCAGAAAATACAAGTCATTTTCCTTCAACTACAAACGTTACCTCAGGAAATACAATAAACACAAACTCTGCCAGAGATACAGAATATACATTGGCAAACACAAGTCATTTCACTTTGGAAGGAGCATCTGTTTCTGAAAATGGCAGTTCTTTCCCTCTAGTACAAACTTCTACTTCTGAAATTACAATGTCGGTCCTTGTAGATACAACTCCATATTCTGAAAATGCTAATTTTACTTCAGGAATTACAACAGAAACAAACTCTACTTCAGACATGATGTCGTTATAAACACAAACAATTTCACATCAGAAACAACAACTATTCCTGAAAACACCAGCTATTTCCCTGTGATACAAATTCCTACTTCTGAACATACTGGGTCGGTTCCTTTAGAATTAACGTCAGATTCTGAAATCACAAACGTTACTTGAGGAATTACAATAGAAGCAAATTCTAATTCACATACAACATCTACTGTAAAAAACACAAACAATTTCACATCAGAAACAACAACTATTCCTGAAAACACCAGCTATTTCTCTGTAGAACAAACTTCTGCATTTGTAAATACTGTGTTGATTCCTTAGGTACAACTCCTGCTTCTGAGAATGCAAGTATTCATTTATTAAGAACAAGCATTTCTCAAGGAGATACAGCATCGATTCCTTTGGATACAACTTCAAGTTGAGGAAATACGAGTTCTTTTCCTTTCCAAACGTTACTTTGGAAAATCTAGATCTCTATACTTTAGATAACAAAGAATCTGTCCTCATCCAAACAAACCCTTCAGATAGTTACATTGTGATATTTCCTTCAGGAATTACAATAGAAACAAACTTTTCTTTGGATACGACATGCAACTAAAATATTTCCACATTAGAAAAAAACATCTATTCCTGAAAATACCTGCTTGTTTTTATTGGATAAAACCTCTACATCACTGAGCCCGTAGATCCAACACTTTATTCTGAAAATGCAAAATGTACTTCAGATACAATCTCTTCTTTTGGAAAACAATTCATTTTACTTTACAATAAAGTTCAGTTCCAAAAACTGCTAGTCATTATCCCTTTGAAGAACATGCAGTGACAGCTCCTATGCAACCGTTTTTTCTAAAAAATTCAAACTTTACTTCAGAAAATACCATGGATATAAATTCTAACTCAAATCCAATCCAATCCAGTCATTTCACTCTAGAAACAGCATCAATGCCTTTAAATAATAAGCACACACTTTTCTTTTCCTGTAGATGCCATCCCTAATTGTGAAAAAAACATGTTTCTCCATGTAGGAGGAACCTATACCGTGTATAACTCCTGCTGCTGCAGACAATCCAGGTGACATTCCCTTAGACACAACCCATTTTGTAAGAAGATGCAATGTCCATTTCATTAAAAAAAACCCAAAAAACTCTGCTTTAGGAAGTTCAGATTATATTTCTAGCTAAATAAATACAAAGGCAGGTTCACGTATTCTTTTGAAAAAAATAATCTTTTATTTCCAGTTAGAAACATCATCTACATTTAATAAAACCACAAGCACCATCCTACTAAATTCAATATCAAAGTATTTAGTCTCAGGTACTCGTTCTTACTCAGAATCCTGTATTACAATGGATGCCATGCTGTGCCCTGTACACTGGATGGTCCCAGTGCCACTATTAGTAACGAAATAAGATGTTTGGATATAATTTATGCTCGAGGATACATTTTTGTCTGGTATTTTATATACAGAACTTGAAAATGTTATTCCTTTAGATAAATCTCTCATTTATGGAATAAACTGAACACATGACTTTTCACAATTACATAACATGTATAATTAGTAGACACCATAGAGATGTCTATATAATGGACTGTTTTGTTATAAAGTGTTGGACCCTCGTTGACTCAGTAGATGGACAATTCAAAAGCATGTCAGGAAGGAATCGTAATGTCACACTGGTCATTTTGAGGAAAAGGGGTCTAATCAGAGTTTATATTAAGCCATGTGCTCTGCGTTATGAGTTACACATATCTATGGCTAACGAGAACTAGCTGCTCACCATTACTATATTGACTGTCATTCTCTGAAGTTCTGCCTGTGCATAACACACAGAACGACAGGCGTCGTTAGGGACTAATTTGTGGCTTGGTGAATGGTGTCGGGAGCAAGGATTTGGCTTTATTTCTCATGGTAGCTCTGTTTGGAATGGAAATAAGCTGTACAAAAAAGATGGTCTGCATCTTTCTCAAAAGGGAACAAATGTTCTCAGTGAGCAGTTCAGAGGTTTTGCTAGGATGTATTTAAACTAGGAGGGGGGGGCAAAAGGGTGATAAAACATCAATCCAATTGTCCCCAAAACAAGGACAGAAGGTGCCTGTAGCAAGTGTGTTAAAAAATGATAAGCTTAGAGTCATGTCTACAAATGCTCACAGTTTAGGGAATAAGATCCATGAACTTGTGGCAATAATGGCAACTGATAGTGTAGATTTAGTCGCTGTTACTGAGACTTGGTATAATGAGAAAAATGACTGGGACATAGCAATACCAGGGTACTCTTTATATAGGAAAGATAGGGAAGGCAAGAAAGGGGGAGGGGTGGCCCTGTATGTGAAGGATAGCATAAAATCTAGCCTAATAAAAGTTAGTGAGGCAAACATAGAGTCAGTTTGGGTTATGTTAGAATTTGGTAATCACACAGTAACTCGTGTAGGTGTGATTTATAGGCCCCAAGGACAAATTGAAGAGTTAGATAATCTACTAGTTGAGGAAATAGCTAAAATGACAATGAAGGAGGAAGTTATCATCATGGGTGACTTTAATCTTCCTGATGTAAATTGGAAAACAAAAATAGCTACTTGTGCCATGAGCACACATATTCTAAACTCCCTACTGGGATTGTCTCTAAAACAAGTCGTTGAGGAGCCAACTCGTAAGGAGGCCATACTAGATTTATTGTTAACAAATGGCGATTTGGTATCAGATATTACTGTTGTTGAAAGTCAGTGTGGTTTAATATAAGAACAGTGACTGAGTCACATCACACAAAAACAAAAGTTTTAGACTTCCAAAAAACAGACTTTTCTTAAATTAGAATATGTGTAGAGGAGTCATTATCAGACTGGAGCAATTTAAATGGTGTCAAAGAGAAATGGGATTATTTAAAAGTTGCTCTATTGAAGGCAACAGAAAATTGCATTAGGCTTGTCAGTAAAAGCAAAAAATTCAAGAAACCACTGTGGTTAAAAATAAAAAGTTAGCATTTAGTAATTATAAAAAAAAATAAAAATAAAAAAAAAGAATGTGATTTTTGATGTTGAACATCTAAAATCACATGGATTTCAAGATCAGAGACAACATGGGTTTACTTCAGGGAGATCATGCCAAACTAATCTTATTGATTTTTTTGATTGGGTAACTAAAATTATAGATCAGGGTGGTGCAGTAGACATTCTTACCTAGATTTCAGTAAGGCTTTTGACACTGTTGCACATAGAAGGCTTATCAATAAACTGCAATCTTTAAGTTTGGATTCCAATATTGTAGAATGGGTAAGGCAGTGGCTGAGTGACAGGAAACAGAGGGTTGTAGTCAATGGAGTAAAAATGGGGTTGTCACCAGTGGGGTACCTCAGGGATCTGTACTTGGACCAATTCTCTTTAAAGCATCACTATAGGGTCAGGAACACAAACATGTATTCCTGACCCTATAGTGTTAAAACCACCATCTAGCCCCCCTGGGCCCCTCATGCCTCCATAAATATAGCAAAATCTTACTGTATTCAAGCCAGAAGCTGTGGATCTGCATGCTGTTTGCAAAAAAAAAAAAAACAAGCAGTCTGCTGACATCATGAGAAGTGGTAGCCTGAACCAATCACAATGCTTCCTCATAGGATTGGCTGAGACTGACAAGGAGGCAGATCGGGGGCAGAGCCAGCACAATTCAAATACAGCCCTGACCAATCAGCATCTCCTCATAGAGATGATTTGAATCAATGTATCTCTATGAGGAAAGTTCAGTGTCTGCATGCAGAGGGAGGAGACACTGAATGTTTGGATGCATTTTAGGCAGCCATGACCCAGGAAGGATCTCTAACAGCCATCTGAGGAGTGGCCAGTGAAGTTATCACTAGGCAAAATCCTTGCCTGAAAATTATAGACCTGTGAGCTTAACTTCTGTGACTGGGAAATTATTTGAACGGCTATCAAGGGATAATATTCAGGAATTCATTGGGAAGAACTTTGTTATTAGCAATAATCAGCATGGTTTTATGAAACATAGGTCATGTCAAACTAACCTAATTGCATTCTATGAAGAAGTACGTAGAAGTATAGATCAGGGTGTTGCAGTGGATGTGATCTACTTGGATTTTGCCAAGGTATTTGATACGGTTCCTCACAATAGGTTAGTCTTCAAACTAACAGAAATTGGTCTAGATGAATATTCCTGTTCTTGGGTAGAACATTGGCTTAAGGATAGAGTACAACGAGTTGTCATTAATGGTAAATTTTCAAGCTGGACAAAAGTGGTAAGTCCCTCAGGGTTCTGTTTTGGGACCGCTTCTATTTAACATGTTTATAAATGATCTTGAAATGGGCATTGAAAGCCATGTATCAGTGTTTGCAGATGACACAAAACTTTTTAAAGTAATAAAATGTGAGCAGGATATTGCTTTGCTGCAGAGGGATTTGGATAGATTGGGGCAGATGCAGAGGGATTTGGATAAATAAAATGGCAGATGAAATTTAACGTAGAGAAATGCAAAGTTATGCACTTCGGGGTTAAGAATGCACAAACAATTTACACCCTAAATGGTAGTGAACTAGGGATAACCACACGCGAGAAGGATTTGGGAATTGTTATAGACAACAAATTAGGCAGCAATATGCAATGTCAATCTGCCATTGCTAAGGCCAGTAAGGTTTTGTCATGTATAAATAGGGGCATAAATTCTCGAGATGAAAATATAATTTTGCCTCTTATCTAAATCGCTGGTAAGACCACACCTTGAATATGCTGTGCAATTTTGGGCACCTGTTCTAAAGAAAGATATCATGGCACTAGAAAAAGTGCCGAGACGAGCTACAAAATTGATAAAAGGAATGGAGCATTTTAGTTATGAAGAAAGGTTAAAAAATGTAAATCGCTTTAGTTTGGAAAAACGGCGCCTGAGAGGGGATATGATAACATTATACAAATATATTCAGGGCCAGTACAAACCATTATCTGGAAATCTATTCATAAACAGGGCTATACATAGGACACGAGGTCACACATTTAGACTGGAAGAAAGGAGATTTCATCTAAGGCAAAGAAAAGGGTTTTTTTACAGTAAGAGAAATAAGGATATGGAATTCTCTGCCTGAAGATGTGGTTTTGTCAGAGTCTATACATATGTTTAAACTGCAATTGGATAAATACTTGCAAAAACATAACATACAGGGATATAATTTCTAATTAGTGGGGTAATAGCTGCTTGATCCAAGGAGACATCTGACTGCTATTTTGGGCTATGTAACTATGTAATGTAAACACTGTGTTTTCTCTGACAATACAGTGTTTACAGCAAAAAGCCTGAAGGTAATGATTCTACTCACCAGAACAAATTCAATAAGCTGTTGTTCTGGTGACTATAGTGTCCCTTTAATATTTTTATTAGTGAAATTGCAGAAGGTCTTGATGGTAAGGTATGTCTTTTTGCTGATGATACTAAGATATGTAACAGGGTTGATGTTCCAGGAGGGATAAGCCAAATGGCAAATGATTTAGGTAAACTAGAAAAATGGTCAGAGTTGTGGCAACTGACATTTAATGTGGATAAGTGCAAGATAATGCATCTTGGACGTAAAAACCCAAGGGCAGAGTACAGAATATTTGATAGAGTCCTAACCTCAACATATGAGGAAAGGGATTTAGGGGTGATTATTTCTGATGACTTAAAGGTAGGCAGACAATGTAATAGAGCAGCAGGAAATGCTAGCAGAATGCTTGGTTGTATAGGGAGAGGTATTAGCAGTAGAAAAAGGGAAGTGCTCATGCCATTGTACAGAACACTGGTGAGACCTCACTTGGAGTATTGTACGCAGTACTGGAGACGGTATCTCTGGAAGGATATTGATACTTGTAATGGATCACCTGGCACCCCGACTAGGCACCTCCGTTAACGGATGCTTCCTAGTTGACGCTGAGGACTATACCGCACCGGACACCACAACCGCCGCAGACTCCACAACCACTGTACTTTAACTGGAATCTCACCGTCTTCCTTCTTCCAGGACCAATTTCGGACATCCAGGACCATGTGGGGGAAACCTCTCCTCCAGGAGAGCGTAACAGGAACAGCTCTTAAAAGAGCTAAGTGATTAGAGCCCAGGGGAGTATACAAAGTATAGCAATCCCCATTGTGATTATAGCAGTTCCCCTCCAATCATGAGACAAGACTACGTGTTGAGGGTCAAACAGGGTCAGAAAGATTAATGGCACACACTGGTCTTTTATACAAAGTTTACAACAAAGGTGACGCCCAGGTGGACCTAGTTGGGTACCGAATACAAAACATACAAGCCAATAAAAACAGAGGTTTACATTCAGACACTCCATACAATGTACAAAATCCCTCTCCTCTGCCTGTGATACAGTTAACGAAGACAATGGACTAACTCAATTAACTCTAAGCAGAAAAAACATAAATCTTTACAAAGTCTGGTAAACACTCCAAAACACCACATATCACCCAGATCAGATCAGGGGTTCAGGAAACTCCTGGAAGTCTCTTTTAACCGACCAAAAGCATGGCTTCATGCCCAAAACAGTTCCAGAGAATTAGGCTGTGCGGCCGGTCTATTTTCAAGGTTGAAAGTGCACTATAGTACAAGCAAGGGTGGGGTCAGACAATAGCAAGGGCTAATGGAAGATTGAGGAGGGACAGAGCAGCCAGTTTAAACTCGTCTGGCAGTGTCTCTGGGACAACGCCCTGCTGGAGAAACAATAGGACAGGAAAAAGGGGGAGGGGAAGAGGCACATTTTCCCATGGAAGTCACTTTTTAACATAGCTTTTTACAGGACCCATATAAATTGGGCAAAAGGCTTGCCATTAGTCCTCTCCAAAAACCAGTGTCGAAATTGCTTTCGTCACAATACTTTAGAGAGAGTTCAGAGAAGGGCTACTAAACTGGTTCATGGATTGTGGGATAAAACTTACCAGGAAAGGTTAAAGGATCTTAACATGTATAGCTTGGAGGAAAGACGAGACAGGGGGGATATGATAGAAACATTTAAATATATAAAGGGAACCAACACAGTAAAGGAGGAGACTATATTAAAAAGAAGAAAAACTACCACAACAAGAGGACATAGTCTTAAATTAGAGGGACAAAGGTTTAAAAATAATATCAGGAAGTATTACTGAGAGGGTAGTGGATGCATGGAATAGCCTTCCAGCTGAAGTGGTAGAGGTTAACACAGTAAAGGAGTTTAAGCATGCGTGGGATAGGCATAAGGCTATCCTAACTATAAGATAAGGCCAGGGACTAATGAAAGTATTTAGAAAATTGGGCAGACTAGATGGGCCGAATGGTTCTTATCTGCCGTAACATTCTATGTTTCTATAATATTGCAAAGCGCTGTGGAATAAGTTGGCGATATTTAAATACTACTAATAATAATAATCAAAATAATAATAATAATTGACTCTGCCTTGGTAGTCACAATTGTATGTTCTGTAATAAACCTCTCAAATGTGTTTTCTGACTGTGTGTGGAGGAAAGAAAATTGCCACCACTATCAAATTAAAATAACCAATTCCTAGATTCCTATATGCTCGAAAGAGTTAGATGGTTTACAATATTAAAATCCTTACCTGTTCAGGCTGTTTGTGAAGCAGAAATGCTTTTCTAATCAGTGTCTGAGTTTCAGATATGTGGAAGTACCGGTATCTATTCGCATATTTCAAGAGGACCCATTTTAAGAAACCAGTATGATTCCGGGAAAGCTAAGTGCTACTTTTACTTTTGGTTTTGGCTTATTCACTAAATTAGAGAGATTCGAAATTCCCCTTTTTCAGCTTGAGTCTTTATCCATCTGTATCCGCACCAGCAGTATTGTCACAACAGTCTCTCAGACATTCCACCTCTTTTCTCTCCTGTTCTATGCTCTAATTTTCACTGTTGCGATATTTAAATACTACTAATAATAGTAATTAAAATAATAATAATAATTGACTCTCCCTTGGAAGTCACAATTGTATGTTCTGTAATAAACCTCTTAAATGTGTTTTCTTACTGTGTGTGGAAAATTGCCACCACTATCTTTCATTCGTATTTTTATGTAGATTTATTTTTAATCTTTATATTGATTTTTATTTATTTCTATATTCATTTTTGTTCCTGCACTTTGATTTTCATTTCCATTTCTATTTTGATTTCATTCGTTTTTTCACTTTTTGTTTCGTTCCTCACTTAGCTCACCCACTCCTTCACTCTCCTCCATTTCCTTTATATTCTATTTTTGCCTTGCATACACATCCATTTCCTTTGTACCTATTATTCCTTGTGCTTTTACACTGCTTCACATTTTTACACAAGATGATATAGACTGGAGGAGGACACTATAAAGAACTATATAGATAATGCATAAAATATATACAGACAATATCAAATAAACAAATAAGATAATTCCCCCCCGCCCCCCAGAATGTAAGCTCATTTGAGCAGGGCTCTCTACACGCTCTCTTTCTGTGGATCCTACTCACCTTGTAACACATGCTTGTCTGTTACTCCACCCATTGTACAGCACTACGGACTTTGTTGTGTTTTATACATAATAATAATAATAATAATAACTTGTGTGATGAACTGAACCTCGCCAGCCTCTTGCCTCAGGACTATGGGCCCTGCAATATAGCTTGCCCAATGCACTTGAAAAGGCTCTGTTTATGTGAGTTATGTACTTTTGCACTCCAGACAGAGAGACCGACTGTTAGCACTGATTCCCTGGAACTGTTTTGGGCATAGGACCATGTTGCGGAGCTGCAATTTTATAATCCCAGGATCTCTGCTGGTAGAATGCAATAACCAAGTACAAAGCTGGAAGCAGGCAATATTCCCAAATCCTCCCAAGAACCAGACGAAACACAGTCTGAGAGTCAACTGACACTTTATTCAAAAAGACTGATATTTAAAGCAGGTCACTCAGCTGTCACTTTATTAAAAATAACTGATATTTAAAGCAGGTCACTCAACAGGGGTTTCCAAAGATGGGCAGCAGGGGTTTTGGTTGAGGGGACTGGAGGGAGACTACCGTTTCCAGGTCCTCCTCCCAACAGCCCCTGCTGTAACATACAGTAATGAAAACTACGAGGACATAAACCGCTACCTTTCTACTTCAAAATATACAACTTAGTCAGTTTTAATAGCAATGCTAACGAATGGGGAGGATTCGAACAGACATACACAGTACAGCATAAATTAAACATAGCCGGAGACGCCACACTATACCGGCGCGCAGTACACAACAGAAAATAGGCACAACCATTCTATCTTAGGCAGTCCCAAGTGGCTAGGTTTGCCACAGTTATGAAAACAATCTGTACAGTTTTATGAACCATGTTCTCTTCAAATAATTTCAAATTAATAACTTATAGCAAGTGGAAAAGGCCAAACAAGCCACTGGTCAAAGGACAGAACAGAAAGTTGTCCGGAGAGAGGATACAATCTACTAGTAAACAGATGATTTATATACCAGAGTGGAAGAGTCGATAATTTGAATTTACAAAATGTCCCAAATCCCAAAAATGTCAGGCAACACACAGAAATTACAGGCATTCCCTGAAAACAAAAAGAAGAAAGTTCTATCAGGCGTTTTAAGTAGATGTTGTATCATCACTCATTAGAGATTATTGCCAAAGATCTAATAAATACAATATACTATTAAAGG